TTGTATATCCTTGCATATAATTCATAGTATATCTCATTGCTAGGATATACCCCTTAGTTTATATTGCTCATCCTAGCTCATATATATTGTTGTATTTCATACTTGCTAGAATACTTATTAATTAATTTTAATTGGCATAAAATCGGATTAGATTAGCATAAGACCCTAATCACCCCCCCTCTAGGGTCTAACAGCGTCCTCATCGTGTTGTTGAGCTTAGGGATTTGTTGGTGGTATCACGGGGTTGCTGATAAGCTTATTTGTTTGTTTGTTAAGGTTGTAGCATGATTGTAAAGAAGGACGTGACTAAGGTTACAAGGTTATCTTGCTAAGTTTATCGTTCTGTTGTTAAGATTATGTACTGGCTGTCAAGGTTATATGCTAGTTGTTAAGCTTTCAGATTTTTTGTGAAGTTAGGCGTTATATTGTTAAGCTTATGGATTGGTTGCTAAGGTTAGCGCTCTGTTGTCAATCAATGGTTATCAAGTTTATCCTTTTAGTTGCCCAAGGTGATCAAGAAAAAAAATTCGATTTCTCTCTGCATTAAATACATTCCATAGTAGATTATGTTCCCAAGACAGATAGTATTATCACCTGGCTCCTCGCTATTCCCAGCCACGACGCGGCAATTACCCTCTTCCCTTTGCATGTTCAATGACAAGATCATACGACGCAACCATCAATCTTCCCATCACCGCCATTCTCCACGTCAGGCTAAGAACAAGATAAAACCCTTCTCCCCCTATCCCAGCCTCATTATCAACCGGGGCATATCTCCTAAACCAGAAGATCATGTCTCACGATGATAGCACGTGTATCCATTGCCATGGCTCGGGGCATTATCTCCCGGATTGCCCTCATGGTCTGAGAGCAAACGCCTCTCCATGGTTGCTCCCCGTGCCAGATAACATCGCCAGCAATATTCAGGAGCTTTCTACCTTCGCCCTCCTCACGGTTGAGGTGGGCCTGCCATCTTTGGAGGAGCTCAGAGAGATACTAGGATATCGCTTCAACGTCTGGGATTGGACCTATGAGATCAAGCGGGTATCTAAAAATAGGTTCATGGTTAAATTCCCTTCTGATGAGCTACTAGATCAAGCCATCGAGCTCAGTCCTGTAAATCTGATGAGCTACTAGATCAAGCCATCGAGCTCAGTCCTGTAAATCTTGGGTCCTTCGTGGGCAGATTCAGGCTTTGGAGGGAGGACCTCAGGCTATCTTGGGTCCTTCGTGGGCAGATTCAGGCTTTGGAGGGAGGACCTCAGGCTAAGAACATTGCCCAACCACATGCTTACGTGGGTCCACCTCTTCAATATCCCCTACCACCTCTGGGAGTGGGAGTTCCTCCAATCATTGTTCGAGGGCATCGGCCAATGCGTGTACTGCTCTGCTGACGTTACCACAAAAACAAACTTCAAAGACTGTAGGGTGCTGCTAGAGATTAGGGAATATTCGGATGTCCCTAAGAGGATTAGGTTTCGTTACACCTCTCCCATGGACCTTCGTCTGATGGAAGGTTTCGTCATCACTCAGATTGTAGGTCGGGGCGGTGAGCAATAGGCAAACAATGAGGCTGGTTCCATCGATGTCTGTTGACAAACCTCAAAGCTAGCGTACACAGCCTCCCCGCGCCGACCAGAAATTGATTGAAGTGACTTGGGATGGCAGGCAAATGATGATGGAAAAAGACCTTTGGCAACGATTTCTCCAGGCCCAAGGTGTTGGGGGGTCTACCCTTCCTCGCGGCAGGGGTTTCTCCCACGATTGCGCTTCGAGCAAGATGAGCGGGGGAGGAGGAGTCGGCCCCTAAGTTATCATCAATTGTAAATTCCCTTATGTTTTGCTTAACTTGATGATGATACGCTCTGTTAACAACCTATTAATTTATGATACACTTTTTGGAATGATTATACCTTTGTTAAGTTTATGTGTTTGTTGTTAACCTCGTGGGTTTGCTGTTAAGGTTATCCCTTGGGTGTGTGATGTTAGGCCTTGGGCTTACTGTTTTGCGTTGTGTTGTTGAGCTTATGGTTCATTGATTGTTAGGGTTACGGGGTTGCTGTTCTGTTTAAGCCTTTTGGCTTGACGTTTGTTGTTAAGGTTAGTATGTTGTTAAGCTTTGGTGTTTGTTGATGAGGTTACGGTTTTGTTGTTGAACTCATGGCTTGGCTGTTAATGTTAACCCATGGGGGTTTGTTGTTAAGCTCTGCAGGTTCAGTTTGCGCTGTGTTGTTGAACTTATAGTTCTTTGGTTTGTTGTTTGCTGAATTCTTGTGTTTGTGTTTGAGGTTACGAATTGGGTTTTAATTTTAATCTTTGACAACCACGAGCTAAACTTAACAAACAATCCACAAACTTAACAATACAATGTCAAACATAACAATAAATCGATAAGATTGACAACCAGACCATAACCTTAACAGATAGATCATAAGCTATCTATGCGATGTTAACCTTTAAATTTATAATATTTACATGTATATTGTTACTAACAAAGAATTGTAATATATTATTTACAAAAAATCTACATCTCAACGTCATCATCGTCAAGTTTTCCCGTATCTTCTTTCCTCTTGCAGCCTTCAATCAGTAAATACGCTGCTAGCTTCGCACGTACCACCCATGTGTTATGCTCTACGGGTGTGACGTACAGGACATCTCTACCTTCGATAATAGCTTTTACGAACTGGTAGACGTAGATCCTACAGTCATACCTGCACACAAAAACAATCCTCCATTGAGACCACTGTTGCTTTCAAACAAAACATAACAAACTCGTGACCTTAACAACCAGTTTCCAACATTGAATTCTAACAAGGGTTTCGAAAAACTTACAATCCCTTTTGCTCCTCGCATGGAACTTTGATTGGGTCGAATACGCTGCATAATTTGTTCTCATCGAAGCCAGCTTTAATATAGTTGAAGGCTTTGATAATATTGAACACAGGTTCCCAATGTCCAGATCTCTCCATAAAGGAGTCGTAATGCCTGGCAATATTATTTTCGACATCAAACTCCAGTAGATGCCAATGATCCCCCTGGACAATGGGAACTAAGAGGTTAGTACACCCTGCATCGACCAAGTGTTTGATGTAAATATCATGCAGTTCTTGATAATTTGGTTTCACCACATGTATCTGGTGCTGCAATAAAGAATTAATCCGATCAAATTCCTTTTAACATAGATTATGTGCTGATAAGTAGGAGTACGCCACACCAGACACAAACTTATACTAAACTAAACAGGGACCACCCCAAATTTTATACTGGACAATGTTCTCTGATTTTCACGAACTAAATCAAGCAGCGTATCAACAAGCTATAATAAGTTGACAACAAGTAATTAATAATAGTATTGTTAAATATGCTAATCAATAATTACCAATCGAAAATCTTAAAGTAATTAATAATAGTATTGTTAAATATGCTAATCAATAATTACCAATCGAAAATCTTACTACATCATCTAGTCGCCCACCACGTAATATATTGAAGATCTCAAGCCGAGTAATAGACCACACCGATCCGGTGTACGCTTTAATAAAACTGCAAACAAGGACAAATCAGTAAATTATAGTTAGCAACTAACAATTAATAGCAAGAACAAACCAGTAAATTTAACAACAGACCCGTAACTTTAACAACAAATCAATAACCATAATAAAAAAACACGTAACCATAACAACAAAACCGTAACCTTAACAACAAACGCGTAACCTTAACAACAAATCAATAACTATAACAAAAACGCGTAACCTAAACAACAAATCAATAACCATAACAAAAAACCCGTAACCATAACAACATACCCGTAACCTTAACATCAAACTCATAACCTTAACAACTAATACGAAACCTAAACAACAAATCAATAACCATAACAAAAAAACTCGTAACCATAACAACATACCCGTAACCTTATAATATCAAACACGAAACCTTAACAACTAACACGGAACCTTAACAACAAATCAATAATTATAACAAAAAACCCGTAACCTAAACAACAAATCAATAACCATAACAAAAAACCCGTAACCATAACAACATACCCGTAATCTTATAACATCAAACACGTAACATTAACAACTAACACGCAACCTTAACAACAAATCAATCTATAACAAAAAACCCTTAACCTAAACAACAAACCCGTGATCTTAACACCAAACCCGTAACTTTAACATAAAACCTATAACATTATTAACATAGGAGGAACCCTAACAACTAATTGATAACCTTAAAAGTGAAGCTGTAAAAACTTGAGATATGAGGTAAATACTTACTTGTTACATCTACAAATGCAAAAATGGTTTAGAGTTTTTTCTCTTCTTCCGTCAGCAGCGCGACAACATCTGCTGACACCTTATAATTATGTACAAATGTGTCCTTACCACCTAAAAACTTGATGATGAAGCCTCCTGGAAAGGAAATCCCCTCGTTCAGCTTATTCCTTCATATTTCTTCTTCTGAACTCATAGGGGAACTCATGTGTTTTTCTCAGATAGAGTGGGGGTCACTTTGTAGCCGAGCAGGAGCCAACTCTGCTACCTTTTCCTGCACTTGCTCTTCCTCCTCTCCAGCCATTTCTATTATAACCTTGTCCCCTATGTTATCTTTTTCTTTCTTCTTCTTCCTTTTAGTGTAAGGGGTGACTATCCACTTGAAAGGCTTCACCACTCTTTTGCATCTCTTCCGTTTAAGGGATGCAGCAGCGGTCATCTTCTCGCGTGCCCCCTTGCACCACTCTTTCTCTTATTCAAAGCCCTTGAAAACCTAATAGGAGCATCTTCATCATCAGTTGATGTGTCAGGTGCTGGTGAGGGGCATCCTCTGATTGCTTTATTTCCATCCCAGCGTTCTCTCTTAGAGTGTCTGTTTCTAAACAATCCATTTGAAGTATAAATATTAAGAAAACTTAGACCCTTCTATCTAAACTTAACAATTTCATAGTAACCCTAACAACTAATGTCTAAACACATGGTGAAAAAGTTGCTAACCTATACAAGTTTGCGTCTCCGTATTATGTCCTGCAGAAGGGACACCAACCACCGACGTTATTTCCATTCCAGTGTCCTCGCGTTGAGTGCATGTTTCTGATAATATTCAAAGTATAAATAATCAAAAACTTAACAACCAATACGTAGATATAACAATCAATCTCTAACGTATAGTGCAAAAGCAAGCTGACCTGTACAAGTTAGCAGCTCCTTCGCTGGCGGGGACACCTTCTCTCCCTCGTTTATTTCTGCTTCAAGAGCCGTATCAATGCGATTATTCTCTGGTGGAGGTACTTCTCCTGACGGAGCATCTTCACTCTCCTTGTTGATATCAGTAAAAATTGGTTGTGGAGAGGCCCTCCCTGTTGGAGGGTCCTCGCTCTCCTTATTAGCTTCATCAAATAATGATTGATTAATATCCCCCTCGTACTGTATATCAATGCCACCCACGGTGCCTGGAGTGTTTGATTCAAAAAATAAACAAATAAGCTTAGGTACTTCATTGTTAAAAAAACATAGCATCAGTTACATAACCCTAACAACTAACCCAGATACTTAACAATCAATCTCTAATCTTGGCAATAAATCCTTAACCTTAACATTAGATCCGTAAAGTTAACAATAAAATCTTAACCTTAACAAAAAATCCATATACTTAACAATCAATCTTTAAACATAACATGCAAACGTAATTGCAAGTGACATCTAACTTGTACAAGTTTACTGATCCATCAATGAGCCGGACACCAATCCTGTAGGGCTCTTATCTTTATATACAGAAAGGGTTTTGGATCGTGCTTCGCTTAGTTCCTCTCTCAGTCTTCTATTTTGAGCAGACAGCTTAGCCACATTCACAAAAAGAGCACTTATTTTTACACGATCGGCAGCAATCATATCCTTGAATTTACTCGTCTTCACGACGTAATGCTTGGTTCATTGCCGCAATGCTCTTCTAGTAGATCACTTGCTGAGGCCATTCCATTTGTTCAACTGCCTCATTTGGCTGCTCGACGTCTTCATCAATATCATGTGGTATAACCTATGCAATGGATAGAGTATTATTAAAAGGATTAATTAATTAAAAACAAATAAAATTCACAACTGCAAAATTCTTACATCTGCATCAATTGGGATGTCATCTTCTGCTCCCCTCTTCTTCTTGTGAAGAAGTTGTCTTGGGTCACGCGCCCCGCCGGCGTCTACTGCAGCCGATCCCTTAATCCTCCTCTTCTCTCTCTCCCTCATCTTCTCTTTCTCTTTCCCATGCTCCTTCCCCCACAAACCTCCCTCGATTCTTTAAAATTGGCCATGTTGTTGTGGAAGCTTTATCGTAGCTTTACTTGCTTTAGCTACAACAGTGACCAATCTCAAAGAATTAGCAACCTCTCCAAGTCTCACCCAAATTGTGAGGGGAGGCCTCACCGTACATCCAACTGCTGGCTTCTTGATGCTGGTAAGTTCATAGTACCACAACTGCACATTAGAAAAATAAAAACTTAACAAACACAGTTATCCTTAACAATTAATAAGTAACCCTAACAATAAAAACGTAACCTTAACAACCAAACCATAATATTAACAACGAAACCGTAACCTTGACAACTAAACTGTAACGTTAACAACTAAACCCTAACCTTCACAATCAGTAATAAAAGACATGATTACTTACACAAACTAGAGGGGTACACCCTTACAGATATAAAATCGTCTTCCCTGGCTTAGGACCATTAGTGCTCTCTCTATCGCGTCAGTTGTCTCACTAAATATATAGCTCTCCCAAGCAGTGTTATTGACCTGTTTCTATGCTGTCGACGTACTTGAATAAATGCCTATGAACGCCGAAAACACTGCATGGACACCAAATCATGCTCAGCTGATAGAGGATCTGTAGCAGGACAAAGTCCTTCACATCTCGACGATCAGCCGATAGTACCAGCTTCAATAGCAGTTGCTCCATATTGCGTCCGGTGGGGCCTCCTTTAGGGGGAGCTATAGTGTTGGCACCCTCGGTCTCGGGTTTGTTAAAAGACCTGGACCAAATCCTATTTTTTCTATCCCAATTGTGGTCAACATGAAGCCCCTCATTGGAGAACCATGTATGCTCCATTACCCTCTCAAGGTTGAATGAGCAGACGATCTTTTCTCCATCATTCCTATCGGTGAAGACGAATTTCTTACTTTTCTTGTCCCACTGACTCAAAATGTGCTCAAAGGTGGAAAGATCGACACCATGTGGGCCAAAATGGACGTAGTGTCTGAATATACTATATTCATAGGCCACAAAGTGTCTTGGCTCCATATGTTGCACCAAACTCCGCATGAAGTCATGATAGACACTGAAGCTGGCGGTGGGCCGCAACGTAATAGTTGGCTTTGCCCTTTTTCTACATTACAAAAACACAAGACATAAGCATTTTTGAGTATAATCAGTAAACATAACAACTAAAACCTAACCTTAACATTTTTGCGGATAAACTAACAACCTTAACATCAACCCTATAATCTTAACAACCAAAACCTAACCTTAACAACCAAAGGCTAACCTCAACAACCAAATAACAACCTCAACAATAAAAGCATGAATCTTGCATGCTAACAGTAACCTCAACAGCTAACAGACACCCGTAATTTTGGACCTTCCCACCAGACTAGGAGCATTATCGTAATTTTGGACCTTCCCACCAGACTAGGAGCATTATCAATCAAACCATAACCTTAACAACATAAAACTTACGGTAAAAATTATTCCCACCAGACTAGGAGCATTATCAATCAAACCATAACCTTAACAACATAAAACTTACGGTAAAAATTATTTTTTGGGTGCTACCACGTGCTTCTCTTTTTCTCCTCTCTGTAGATCAAGGAGCGTTCTAGTGGCATCGTTGGACGCGACGGTGGTGCCGGTGCTGCCCTCTAGACCTTCGCGAGGGCCTACACTTAAATTTTAAGGTGGACTTCTGAGTTAAGAATGGCTGGTTGCGATATCCTCTAGAACATTAGCAATCACAACTTCAGCCTCAGATTCAGTACGCACTGCAGTTGTCTGGGCTCTTTCTGAGATTTCGAACTGCTGGGCGTCATCGCTTTCGCTGTGGTGGGCATGGAGGCTTGCTTTGGGGGTTGAATCGCCGCCCATTTTAATCCATTTGCTTTGATTCGGTTTGCGTTGGAGTCGGTTAATTTAGGGCTAGGGCTTTGAATTGGATTTCTGGAGTCGGTTTGCTTACAGAAGAGAGATGATAGGGTACGGACGAGGAGGTAACTCATAAGGGGGAATTTTAAACGGAAGGGTATTTTGGGCATTTTGAGAGGGGTTTAAACGTAGTTACGCCTGGGGATTCGTTTTGGGGGCTGGAAGAAAATCGCGAGCGATTTTGGAGGCAAAGCACCCGTTGAAAAAGTCTTAGGGGGGAAGCACGTTTTCTTGTGTTTTGGGGGTTGGAAGCATTTTTCCCTTAAAACTAATGTGACCTCTATTAGAACTAACATGAACATTAAATAGAACTAACATTAGCTGGAAATAGAAGCAATTTTCCCTTTTATCTATGATGTTTGCTTAGTCTACAGTATGATTAATTGCATATATAAAAGTTAGGTCCATGGTTGTACTATTGAGATACAATGTACTTCGTTTAAGATACAAAGTACATGTTGAGACCCCTCAGCCCGCTCAATGAGAGAAAATTACATAACGGTATGAATTTCTCATGAAATACTATAATATATTTTCTTAAAATACTAATTACAAATCTCTATTCAATTGTCAGCATATGGGATCCAATTCCACTAGGATCCAATTCCACTAGTATGTGGCTCAAGAAGAAAATTAATAGAGCCCATATGGGATCCAATTCCACTAGGATCCAATTCCACTAGTATGTGGCTCAAGAAGAAAATTAATAGAGCCACAAATTGTAAGCGCTAACGACCACTAGTATGTGGCTCAAGAAGAAAATTAATAGAGCCACAAATTGTAAGCGCTAACGAATTGATGTATCGGGAGTAATGCTCCTGTAAGAGTAGGATGCCCATGTCAAAATGGGTGGATAGTATACTGAGATCACAAGTTAATTCCCAACTAAAAATGATGAGATAATGTGTCTCAATTATCCAAGGGGATCCGATCGAGTTGGTAACTTGCCCATAAATAGTATACTGAGATCACAAGTTCAACTCTCGCACCCATAGGAAATTAATTTTGTGGCATATGCGAGGGCACGCGTTGAGGGACGTAGCCGCGCACCCAGCGTTATCAAACTAGCAAGATGGCGTAATACAAATAACAAATCCCACGGTTCCATGCATCGCCGAGAGCGTGAATCCACTTGACCGATCACCATTCTAAGCCAAATAACACAAACTAAAACCCCCTCGATCCAACAAGAAGCTAACTGAAACAAAACCTAATCAAACCTAGACATAACATGATGGTTCTGCTTAATTTGACATATTAATGCGACGCGAGTAGGTAACTTAACAAAAAAAGCTAACTGATGGGTGAATCTCTGTATATCAGTCCTGAACTTTGCGTATCAGTCCACAGCGTTCAAGTCCTCAGCTTCAGCTTCCAGGTTCTCAGCTTTCGAAGCTCTTGACTCAATCGACTGGTTTCCAACTGATGATCGGTTCCTAACAACCTCCCAACCCAGCGTAAGCATCTGTTGCTACTGCCTCCGTCCTCTTCATCGTCGTCATCCTTCATATCATCACCGGTGAGCTCGTCAAGGGTCAGGGTTGGGTTCTTATTTCTTCCAGTCTGTTGATTAATCTGGAGGAAGGAGAAGATGGATGATTTTTGGATAGTGGGGAGCTTATAAATTTAGACTGCAGGTGAAAAGCCCTCTTTATACCCAAATAAATAAATTAATAAATTAAAATAAAATTAAAATAAAAAAATTGCACATAGAGAGTAGCATTATTGTGCTTCCCCCATGTGATGTGATGCCAATGTTTAATGCCCACACAAGGGAATCCGGTTCATTAGTTTATTGGGTCTTGTTAGTATTTGCCCCCTAAATCTTGTATAGTTTGAGATTAGCCCCTCTGATCGTTGAAACTTCTACAAGGACCCCCAGTTTTCTCCTAGTTTACTTCGAAATTAGTTCGTCCGTTAAGACCATAGGTAGCAAGTAGAGCTAGGGGCTAGTCTGGAGTAAACTTACGAGAACTGAGTTACGTAATAAGAAATGTTAGAGGCACACCATGAGGCACACCTCCGGTCACACTCCCCCACCTGCTACAGTGCAGGGGGCCCCACAGGAGATTTTTAAAAAAATCTCCTGTGGGGCCCCCTGCACTGTAGCAGGTGGGGGAGTGTGACCGGAGGTGTGCCTCATGGTGTGCCCCTAACACCGCTCTTACGTAATGGCAGTTTTATGAATTAAGGGACTAGACCTAAAATAGCTACAGGACTTAATTTTCTAATTAGAGCCATTTCAATGATTTAAATGAT